ATAGAAAAATGGTTTAAAAAACTCACAACAACAGGTAAATTCGAAAACACACATCTGAAACATGGGAGATGCACATTTGAACGTAACGTACATTTTTCCGCTCAAGAACAAAATTAATACAAACAATGAAAGATGAAATAAGTGAACTTTACATTATATTACAGATTATTTTACTCCTTTTAATTTGATAAAACAAAAATGATGATTTAAAGTCTAAAAAGTTGATTGATAACTAGTAAGAAACTCGTGCTGTCGCATGAGTCCTGTCTGAATTCATATTACATGTCTACCAAGTCATCATTTGTAAAGTTTGAATTCATTCTTCAATTGGTTAACATTGACATAGTTACAAATATATGTTAGTAGTATGCACCAACTTTTAAGCATTGATTCATAGTTATAATAAATCGTACAACCGATTCTCTAACTTCAATTATATAAAACAACAACAAGATAAATATTTAAAAGATAGACATTAAAATGATTAGTCAATAACTGGTATCTCATAGATACGTTCACATCTACCCATCAATCTAAAAATTTATTAAACCTATTTTAGATATTAGTCCATTTTTCCAAATCTAAAATGTATGACAACTCCCGTCAAATACTTAAAAGTTTCTATGTCTAATATATATTATTATAATAATTACAGTTAATGAATATTATTTTCTACGTTTTTATAAAGAGACAAAACTTATTTTGATGCAGTGATAAAACTTTATGTTATGTGTACTAATTAAATAAAATGATAATAAAAATTTGTAAAAATATAAAAAGAATGATAAATTTATCTTTTTCATAACAAATTTATGTATTTTTTTATCATAATTGTCTTATATTCTTTTATCATACACAATATTTATAACATTTTTTTAGTATAAATGATAACGTTTTAACATAAAAAACACTAACTTTTTTTTGATAAATTGAATTTTTTAAAATAATTTATTACATTATAATAGTAGTTTTGATTATAGTTAATATATTACTAAAATTTTAAAAAGAAAAACTTAAATAAATTTAATACTATATTAAAAATTAAATGATTTTGTCCGAAATTAATTTAGTAATTTTTAATTGTTTGAAATGTTAAATATAACCTTACAAATGACTATTTGTATTCTTAACCATGCAAATAGTATAACATCATAATAGTAATATTATAATTAAATATGTATTAATTTTTAATATTGATGTTAATCTTAATTAATAGAATAAGTTGTAAAATTTTAATTGATAATTGTATTTTTTTTAAAAATTAATAATGAGCCATTTGATTTTCAAAAAATTAAAGTGTTAATGGTGCAATGTTTTAAAGCTCAGACCGGTGATCGACTCGGTAAAGTTACTGGGTCACTGGGTTACTGATCGGACCAGTGGTCACTGGTCAGACCGCATGGCTTTTGATCCAGTTTCTGTAAAAAAATATATTCATTACCTGAAAGTTTATAAGAGTTCTTCTTTTTCGATTAGTCCATCCATCGGCCATTAGAGTACAACCAGTTTTCTTCCAAATCTCACGATACTCCTCTATCAATTTGTTCACATCTTCAACCCATTTATTTAACAAATAGCCACGAAGACTATGCATAGTTGGAACTTTATACCCCGGACTCATGCTGCAAAGTGCATAAGGCATATATTGAAAATACGTAGAATTAGCTGCATTGAATGGCACAGAAGAATCAATGAACCATCTTGCAATAGCTAGATCACACTTCTCCACCAATTTCTTACTTTGTAACACACTTTTTAAAGAAGGTTGAGCTCCAGGAGTTGTTCTAGGCATACAATAATTACCAATACGACTAGTATTCTTTCTCTTTTGAGACACAATCACCGAATTTGATCTTGATTGTTCTACATCTATTTCTACTACACCACCCTCTTGAGTAGTAAGATCAACATCAAAATTTTGTGCTTGAGTCTTTCTTCTCTTATTTGCACCTTCATCAAGATTTTGTTTCATTTGATATTGAACATCTGGAGGCACCTTTTTACATGTTTCAACTTGACCTTTTATTCCAGCCAAATGGAATTTAAACCTATTAATCCCCCCTCCTCTAATAATTTTATCACAGTAAATACACAAATTAACAAGTTTTCCTTTCTCTTCAATTTGTTTACAATGACCCCAAGCTATATCAGTTTTTCCCCTACTGCTCTGGAGTTGGGTTGGATTTTGAGATGTAACTTCTTCCGAAGTTATTACTTCAGCGGGTGATGTCATATCTAATATCAATCAAAATTTAAAAATACAAAACTATATTACACAAATATTAACAAAAGACAATTCTAAACAAAAATTATTGAATTTATAAAAACATTATAAGAAACATTAAATATGTAGCATATCTAAATCCAAAATATATGAATATATTGTTGTATATTACATACAGGCTACCAAGCATCGTTACTGTGTATCACCATATATAATAAAAAAATAGAAACTTTACTTTCCAACATTTGCTATATATTTTAGATTAATAAAATCCTGAAACTTTTCTTTGTTATATAATTTAAATTAATAAAAAACAGAAAACTTTGTCTTACTATATAATTTAGATTACATAGTTTTAAACTCAATTTCTATCTTCATAATATATACAACGACTATTACAGTAATATATATCTATCCCAATTTCTATCTCCAATATACAACAACTTCATTACCAGTCTATAATAAGTTAATTCATAAAAGTATAAAACTGTTTCATTCATACAAATTCTATCTCAATTTGTTAAACTAAAAGACCCAATTTTATAGAAAATGATCAAATTTAATCATTTATTTTCTATATCAATTAATCAACAAAATGAAACAATAATATTCATATTGAAAAACATCCATGCAAATTAGACCAAGTAAAAAAGAAATAACCTGTTTTTGATGTTTTGATGAAATTTTTGACGGCAAACAAGGAATATAAAATAACAGCAACAAGTGGGAGTTTTTGTTGGTAGAGAAAATTGAGAATATGACTTAAATTAGAAAAAGAAAAGACAAAATAAAAAAGAAAACCTTTCAAATGCCTAGGTTTGGGAAACGAGGAGGCAAAGCGTTTATGTTAATTTTTTTTTCAAAAGTCCTAAAAAATAAAATAAATAGTCAAATCCGCCGGTTCAGTAAAAATCGCTGATTCACACCGGTTTCATCCGGTCTAAATATAATTCCGATCTTATCCCTTAATCGAACCGCCTGACCCACCAGTTCTCGATCAGACCGGTCCGATCGGCCGGGTCGGATTGAGTTTTAAAATACTGTAATGGTGTTTTGTGTTATTGTGAGTCTTCAGGTCAATTCATCAATATGTTCGTTTTAAAAAAAGAAGAAAAAAATACGGTTTTAGTTCATATAATATTTAATCATCAATATGTTGATTTTGGAAAAATTAAAATAAAAAAACAAAATTTTGATTCATACAACATTTAATATATTTTTAAACCATTTTGATAGATGGGTTTTTAAAAGTTACATGGATAAGATAATTAAACAAATTATAAACAATTTAAATTGTAAAATATAATAATTAACCTAACAATCTGAATAAAAATAAAATATTATAAAAAAATTACAAAACTTTATCATCAATTTTAACATTTAATTTTATTTTCAATTATAAATCTAACAGATTAAATGACAATAATTAATATTAGAACAAATTTATCAATTTTAAAAATCATATACAAAATAATTAATATATTACCATAATTTAAAATCTAATATATTTTTCTGTATTTTAATCTTTATCTCATATTCTCTCGTGTATGTTTGATATTTTCATCTTACACCACCATTATAAATTTTATTGAAATTATAAGTGTATAATGTAAATTGTATAACATAATATTAAAATATTTTAATAAAATAAAATTTTAATGATATTATTTCTATCTTAATAGAGTTTATAATTGTAGTTAATATATTATATAATATTATAAAAGAACATCACAACATAACCTTTCAATAATATATTTGTTATTTCAAAAATTAATTTTAAATTTGTTATTGAAATATTATTATAATAATATAATTATTATGTAAACTATTAAAAACCAATAATAAAATAAAAAATTGTTAAAAATAACAACATAATTTACCAATAATATATTTATTATTTCAAAAATTAATTTAAGTTTTTATTATTTCAAATAATTTACTTAATTATAATATTTTAATTCATAATTTCTCTTTCCAATTTCAATTACAAAATAAATAAATAAAAATAATTTCTCTTTCCAATAACAATTTTTAAAATAAATAAAAAATTGTATTTTTTTAAAATATTACTTTTTCATTTTTTCCACTTTTTATTAATAACATAGCAAAATAATTATAAAAATAAAAAAAGGAAAAATAATATTTTGTTCAATTTTTTAAAATTATACTTTTAAGATATAATCAATACAATCGATTTAAATATATTAAGAATTAAAATTAAAATTAATTTAATTTTAAATTTTTGTTTATATTAATCAATTGCTTTTTAAAACACAAAACCTTACATCGAAGCTGGTTGAGAATCGCAACACCACAGATTCAGTGCTTTTTTTCTCTTGTGTGATATTCATTTGAACCAATCAAAGATCGTCAATTTTATCCAACGGTCATTGTCTCATCACAGACTTTGTTCCTTCTTCTTTTCAAATCTTCCTCCCAAATTCTCATTCAAAACCCTAACTTCATCATCATCATCATCATCATCATCATCATCATCATCATCATCATCAATACCATTCCCTTGGCCTCAGAAATGAAAGTCAAGATCTTGCGTATCCTTTTTCATTATTCTTCACTTCCATTTTCATTTTTTTTTCTTTGCAATACTTTGTTGCATTTTACCTGTTTGTGATATTGCTTCAGAGAGTTTCATGTTTTCAAACTTTCATGCTTTTACTTTTAGTCTTATTTTTCTCTCCATTATCATGAATTGTGTGTTTGCAGAAAATAGAAGTCATGTTTTTCTTGACTTAGCTCTCTCTTTTTTGGATACCTGATGTTAAAGAGTAAGTTGTCTTCTTTGTCTGTAACTAGCTTTTTATACAATGATCAATGCATGAATTTCTTATGTTTAATTTTGTTGATACTTTGTAATATGTTGTTGTGACATTGTCTGATGAAGGATTAAGATTATTAAGCTTTAAATACTATGAAAGTTCTACACTTGCATCCCAATCATTTGAGTTTGAAAATAGCTTTGAAGATGTTTTAGGAATTGATATAACCAAGTTGTATAACAATGAGATGGTATATGAAAATTATGCTTAATATGAAAATAGAATGAGAGCAAAATGAAGTGCCATGAAATTGGTGGAACCTGTAAGGAGAACGAAGAGTGTGTGGGAAATGATTTTCACTAGTGGTTGATTCTGTGTAATGACAGGCTGTTTGGCGGGTGTGATTGTATCTATTAGTTGTAAATTTTTGGTAATTTTTTTAATTTTCTTATCTCAAATGTAGATGGCATGCTGTTGCTTCGTGGACTTGGGATGCACAGGATGAAACATGTGGGATTTGTAGGATGGCCTTTGATGGATGTTGTCCTGATTGTAAACTTCCTGGAGATGACTGTCCACTTAGTAAGATACTATTAATATTATCTTGGAACTTTCATAATAGTCGTTACACTTGCATACAATTGTCTCTGATTAATTACTTAATATGATAATCTTTATATATTGCGTGTTCCATGCTCTACTCACAAAGTAGGAAAGGTCAAGTGCATAGCTGATAATTGTTTGTGCTTTCATTTTTTCTCACTAGCGTGGAAAAGGACACGTTAGTATCCGTCTGTCCGGTTTTTTCTATTATGCTAAATTTTGAAATGTCACTGAAATGATTTCTATTAGAATGTGGTGAATATCTAGGAACAAAGAATGCTAAGAAACTTGAAGGATTTCCATGATATATTGAAAACAAAGGAAGGGAGGATATAATATATGCTAAGAAGAGAGAAGTCAAGAAATAGGATCGGTTGATGTGATGTGAGCAATATATATTCTCAATTAACCAAACACCACATGAACAAGAGTTTTTGGTTCTGATGCTTAATCTTATACTTTTGGCTAATTAAAGTAGGACAATGTCATAGTTATAGCCTTGTCATGACATAACCTAAGGTTAACAATTAAATATGCACACTAGTTCGTAATTAACTTAACTATGAATACACCTTATACACAAATGGTTCCCTTTCATTGCTTTTTGAGCTCTCTACATGTAGACAGTTAATCACCCTGTCAGTTCCTTTCCAATATTTCTGAATGTAGATAGGCCTGGATACCTCTAAATATCATTTGCATTTATATGATTATGCATTAGTTTAAACTGCTACAGCGATATGTTGTTATTGGCATACAAGGTGACTATTTATTAAGCTTTAAGCTCAAGGATCTGGAAGCAATTCCTGCATAGTTGAGAATTTTTCAAGGGAGTAATAAGATGACAATTCTATTCCGAGCCATGATATCACCTTGATATTGCATCAATATATGGATAATTTGTATTTCTCTATGTTTCTATGTTTCCAGATTTGCATTCATTAAATCTCCGACAGATCAAATAACATGATTCTTTCATTATTTGTATTAGTGATCTAACCCGTTTTTCTACTACTTGCAGTTTGGGGTGCATGCAATCACGCATTTCATTTGCACTGTATCTTGAAATGGGTGAATTCTCAAACCTCACAAGCACATTGCCCGATGTGTCGTCGAGAATGGCAATTTAAGGTTGAGAGCACATAGAATATTGTAATTTCGGTTTTCATGGCAAGTTATAGTATCTTCATAAGCATCTGTGGAAACTAGTATTGTAATTTGATCATATATATATATATATATATATATATATATATATATATATATATATATATATATATATATATATATATATATATATATATATATATATATATATATATATATATATATATATATATATATATATATATATATATATATATATTTTAATATATCTATTGTTTCCAAGGGATTGAAATTATCGAAATTTTTAAACAAATTGTCTTTCATAAAGAATTTTTTTCCCCATATCTCTGCAACAGTCTTCTGTCTCACGACACGATGATGTATAACAATTCTAATTTTGTTCACTTTTCTTCTGCCACGGTATTTCATTTTTCGGCGCATTCATACAATTTTTTGTTGAACAAGATGATGACTCCCATCTTATTTTTTGCAAACTAAAATAGCTTATGAAAATTTCTCAATATAGGAGTACCATTTAGTAGTATTCATGGTACATATTTGTCTGCTTTTTTTCCATTTTCTACCTATTAGATAGGAATTAACATCTCCCCCGATTATACATGTCTTCCTCTTAAAGAGTATGAAAAGATAAAATTATCCAAATTCAAAAATTTCAAAATGTGGTACCACACCGAAAATTTAAAGGCGATATCGGAAATTTGTTGAACAATTAAGAAATTTACGGTATAATTATAACATTTTTGAACCGGAAGTTTTGTAATTTTCGGTTAATACGTTTATCTTTTATAGTAGAAATTTTGAAATCCCGTAGCTTAACGACATGTTTTGTAATTTTCGAAATTTCTGACAATTCAATCTTTTAAAAGAAATTAGAAATTTAAAATTTCTGGTAGTGCATATTTTTCTAATTTTTTTAATGTTTCAGTGAGGGCCAGATGCAGAGATGGTTCTATTGCGGGTAAGGTAGTAGAAAGAGCGAAAGCTCAAGCTCGGACTGATGATGCATATGCTTCTGAGCTACGGGTTAGACGACGTGCTATAACCGATTTTCATCGGAAACGATTGGCTGAGCAGTAGACACAGTTTCGCTCACTCCGCCATCGAGGACTTAGAGATTCTACTGCCGAGGAGGTACATGCTCTTGCTCCTGCTTCACAGACCCTAGCCGATGGCATTGATAGATGCATTCTAGACCACACAAATTTGTTGGTGCAATCTGTACCCTCCAAAATTGTCGACAAAATCTCGATCATTTAAAAAAACTGAATAAATGAACTATTTGAAATTTCAACATATCTCAATTTCGGTAGTGTCTGATAAATTTGAAATTTTTGAAATATTAAAAATTTCAAATACACTACCGAAAATTTACATATACTAGAAATTTTGTAGGGATATCCAAAAATTTCGTGTATATCAGAAATTTTGATATATCTACTGAAAATTTCGTCAAAAAATTTGTTCGTAACTCAACAAAGGTAATTGTGGAATAAAAAAATTTAAAGATAGTATATATAATTTGAAGGGTGAGATGTTAAATCATCATTAAATCAATAAGAAAATTGAACAAATTACCATGACAATTGATCTAACCTGATCAGACTTGGACCGTCACGGCTGGCTCCGAGCTGAAAGTTTTGAACGAGGTGGGGGGGGGGGGGGGGGTACCTGCAAGACACTCCGATGCTGAAGTAAGTAAGAGCACGAGCAGGCAATAGTAAGTATGGGTAGAATGATGAATACCTGACCCTCTAGAAACAGAGGGTATTTATAGCCCCCAGCATTGGGCCAAGGTTCCTCCCTTGGGCCGGGCAGGTTTGGCCCAATGGAGGAACTGCCAGGTTCTACGTGCGTAGTGGGGACCCGCACGTGGTCCCCTTCCTGGATGTTCTGCGTGAAGTGCGGGCGGACGGAGACGCGGTCTTTTCGGGGTCTCGTTGGGAGTGCAGTGGACTGAGTCTGCCCTAGTTGGGGTGCTCGAGGTGATGTCGAGCTGGACAACAGGATGTCGAGCTGGAGATGTAGAGGTCGAGCAAGTAACCTCAGGGAGCACGTCGGGCACGACTGTGACCCTTTGGTCAGCGTGGTCCTCAGCAAGTCCATTTGGATTGGGCCTTAGCAATGCTATTGGGCCTGTCGGGCCCAGTCCAGAACAGGAGCCCCCCAAGTCGTGGTTCCTTTGTTAGGAGCCATGGCTTGATCTCAGGTCGTTTCCGCTTCGGGGTCTCGTGCCCGGGTCAGAGATACAGGTCCTCGAGGGCCTCTCCGTGTCGTGCTCGGAGACAAATCTTTCGCGGTGGATGCTCGGAGGATCCTCACTGGCGCGTGTCTGTCGAGCACACGAGGTATCTTTCGGGAACTGTGCCGCCACCCTATGATGATAGGGTCATCATTGCATTGGGAGCAGTGCGTCGAGGAGAGAAACTCCGTGGTTGCCCGAGGTGACGTTTGGTATTCCACGTCATCACTATAAATAGGATCCTTGGGCCCCATAACGCGTTTCTACTCTTTGCGCTCCTACTGCTGCTGTTCTTCCAGATTTTTCATAGCTGCGATCTCCGTTACAGATTCTTTTCCTCCGTAGCCGAATCCACTTCTTGATTCCAAGTAAGTGACTTATCTTCTTTATTTTCCTGTTGTAATGCATGATTTTCAGCGTTGTAGACGTTTTAGGGACTGTGCGCGTGGGACTAGCCCGGTAAACTCATGTTTAGCTCGACATATTCATGCTTAGGACCGACAAACACATGCTCGTGGCCGGTAGATTCATAGTTTAGGTAATAATCTGCAGCGCTGCCCGGGGTCTTCATGATCCAGGGCGCCTGATTCATGATCGTGCCCGGTATGTTCATGGTTCTGGCCGTAGGTTTCATGATGTTGCTCGCCATGTTCATACCTTGGGTCGGCATGTTGGAGAGTGACCGCGTTGTCGGTTTGCTCAGGCGGTTTGGAGAAGGGCCCATCGAGTTATCTGGACGTCGGGGAGGCGACTGCTTTCTTGTTGCAAACTAACTTTTGTGGTCGTGCATGGAACGATGTGGTTTGTCGTACACTACATCTGGTCCGCTACGTCGAGCGTATGGTTTCGTGCCCAATTGACTGGTTTTCCGTGCTCTGCAGGTAACCATGGCGGACGAGCCGTGCTCCTCTGGACGCCCCGAACAGGAGGAACAAAGTGCCGATGAGGCGGTGAGTTTGATCGATATTGTCGACGACCCTCTATTGGATTGGGTGGGCGCCGAGCCCCGAGGAATCGCGTCGATATATAGCCGGCGTGACCGAAAGCCATATGGTGTCCTTGAGGCGGGCCACGGTCAGCCTGATTTTCAAAAGAATTTTGTTGTTACGCGACCGACCTCCAATGCCTGGATCTGCTCGGTGTACCCCGAGTATAGTTTCCCAATGTACGAGATCGCGTTCAAAGATCTTGGGCTGCAGCTTCCCTTCAGTGAATTTCAGACCGGGGTCTTCGCCCATCTGGGGCTGGCCCCGTCGCAGCTACACCCGAACTCACTCGCCTTTATCCGGGCGTTTGAGCTGACATGTCGCTTTCTGAGGATTGGGGCGACGATACCTCTCTTCTTCAGAATTTTTCATCTGCAGCGCCAGTCCCGAGGAGGGAAGCACAACTGGGTCTCCTTAAAACAGTCGAGGAGACTATTCAAGATGTACATGGACTCCATAAGGGGTTTCAAAGACAAGTGGTATGTCGTGAGGCCAGTTACCACGTCTGCTTTGGAATCCCTGTACGAGGAGGAGGCGCCCATAAGCGACGATGACGGGGAGGCGGTTTTAGACAACGATGGGTATCCCGTGATGGCCCGCACAACCAAGTTCCCTGTGCATTGGATGTTCAGGCATTACGAGCACGGGACTGGATACTATCATACCGCTGGGGGCGACATGTGTTCGGAGGACGAGAAGGCGTACGCCACTCTTTATCGGTTCGTCGACAGCTTCCACCCCGCCCGGTGGGCCACGAGGGAGGGGGAAGATGTCTTGGATGAAGAGGGTTATCCGACATTTGAGTCCCGACCGATCGATACTAAGGCACTCGTGGAGTGTCAGTCGTTCAGACAGGCTGCTCGTCTGTTAGGTCGTTTATTGCTTGAATTTCTTTGCTCGTCATTTATTTATGAACTTGCTCGACACTAACACGTCTTTTATTTTGTGCAGGTTCGATGGCCGGGCGACGGGAAAGACTCTTGAAGCTGTCTTGCGACCAGAAGCGGGGTAGGAGGGTCGTGAAGGCTCCCCAGGCAACGAGGATGGGCCCGCCACATAGTCCGGGCGCTCCTCAGGTGGTGAGGGTGGATTCGTCGCCCAACTCGGGGGCCGCATCGGACGAGATCCCATAGGTTCAAGAGGTCGAGCCACATGCCGACCTGATACAAAGAAAGAGGACCCGGGTGGAAAGCGGTCCGGCTGTCAGCGAGGACACCGGCGCCGTCAGGTCTTTCGGGTTCCCCCCTTGCTTCAAAGAGGAGGGTTTCTTCGAGAGATTCCCTCTGTCCGTGGTTGTCGACGAGGCTGAGACTATCAAGAGGATGAGTAAGGAGGATCGGAAGAGGCACCTGGCCGCCAGCATGGCCGGGCTGGTGAAAATGGCCGAAATGGCCCTGGTGCTGTCCGAGGAAGGGGAGGATCCTGTCCGTATTGAAGAACTTGAGCAGGAGAAAGCGGCTC